TTTGTCACCTGTGGATCAGGAAACTGATGGTAGAACTGTCAGCTCCAGAGTGTCACCATTTCTGCTATAATCTACCCCAGGGAAACGTATGCCACAGACACCACCTCTTTCTCTATTTAATCAGAGTTCTGAAGTCAAGTTTCCCACTTGTGCTTCTGATTGGCAAAACATAATTTACATTGAGGACCCTAGCTGTAAGGGAGCCTGGGAAATGATGATTCTGAGCTTTTTCAGCCTATGCAGTTTAGAATAACACAATACAAAGAGAACGAAAAGATGCTGAGTGAGCCAACCAACTGTACCCAACCACCACCTAACATAGTGAATAATATTGAATCATTCTTATGATCCTAGGGGGAAAACAACCTATTTTGCTTTTGATTTTCTAAGGTGCTGCTGGATTCAGTTTTCTAAAACTTTGATAAACATTTTTTGTGTCAATATTCATAATTGATTTTTTCCAGTAGTCTTTTTGTGCTATTGTTGTCTGTTTTTGGTAATAAGTATATGCTGTTTTTACTGTTAGAATTTGGACACTTTTCCTCTTTTTGCCTCTGCTCCAGAACAATTTCAAAAGCAATAGAGGCTATCCATTCTGTAAGATTTGGTAAAACGGGCCTGTGAAGTCCTCTGGGCCTGGTGCTCTTTGGGAGCCTACCATTTTGATAACTTTTTCCTTTTTCTTAAGTTTTTAATATTTAATGTTTAAATTTTTAATTTACTAATTTCATTAAATTGTATTTTTTTAGAAAAATGATTCATTTCACATGAATTTTCAAATTTATTTGCAGATAATTAAGCAAAATAGTCTCCTGTGATTCTTCTATTTTCCTTTGTATTTCTTATTATGTATATTTGTGCTTTCTTAATTATTTTTGAGTGGGTTAGCTAGTGGTTTATCTATCTTAATTTGTTAAATTTATTCATTGGGATCACCATTTCTCTGTTTTTTATTTTATTATTTTCTACTTTCACATTTCCTTTTTCCTTTTTCCTTTTTTCCTCTTTTGGTTGTTTATAAACTGGGAGTAAGAAAAGCTTTTTCAACTATGAATACAAATCTAGAAGCATTAAAGAAAATACTAAAATATTGACAAATCTGACTATGTAAAATAAAAAGAACTTTTTCAAAGCAAAAGTCACAAATTAAAAGCCTAGAGGAAAATACCTGCAATTTAAATCACAAAATTATATCACAATCACCCAATTGATAAAGAGCTCTTAAAAACTGGAAGCAGAAAGACCAAATATCAATGGGGAAAAGATGTGAACAGAGAGTTCAAAGAAAAAGAAAGCAGAGGTCCTTCAACTCATGAAAAAAAGGCTGACCTTCACTCATAATAAGAGAAAGGCATATTAAAATTACTGGACGGTACCATTTTTCACCTATCCAGATTGTCAAAAATCCAAAAACTCAAAGAAATATTGTGATGGCAAGTAATAAAGAAAGAGGCACCCTCAGGCATTGCTAGTGGGAGTGCAAACTGGTACAATTCCAGTGGAAAGGAATTTAGCAATATCTAGCTACATTGCATTTATCCTTTGACTCAGCAATTCCACTGACGATACACTTCCCCAAATATGAAAGACTAATGAATCATTACTTGCAGCAACAAAAGATTGGAAAGAACCGAAACATCTGTCAGTAGATGACTGGTTGAATAAAATAATGGAGTCTTATGCATCCATTTTAAAAAATGAGGAAGACTTCTGTGAACTGATATCACGTAAGTTTTTAGGAAATATTCATAAGTGAAAAATGTTAAGTTGTAGAGTATTACATATAATATGTGTTATGAGTTGAATTGTGTCTTCCAAAAGGATATGCTGAAGGCCTAATGTCCAGGACCTGTGAATATGACCTTTTTTGGAAACAGGGTCTTTGCAGATGTAATCAAGTTAAGATAAAGTCATACTGCATTAGGATGGACCCTAATCCAATGACTCACGTCCTTACAAGAAGAGAGAAATTTGGACACAAAGACAAACACACAAGGAAGAAGGCCATGCGAAGATGGAGGCAGAGACTGGGGTAATGCTTCGACAAGCCAAGAAACACCACAGGTTGCCGGCAACCACAAGGAGCTGGGAGAGAGGCACGGAACAGACCCTCCCTCCGAGCCCCCAAGAAGGAACCAGCCTTGACTTTAGACTTCATTTTGGATGTGTTTGGAAGCAAGACTTCTTAAATATACCTTGTCGTATCGTTTTGACTTTACATATATTACAAATTTTACATATTTTTTAAAAAGTAACCCAAAAAGGGAAAAAAAGAGGAAAACACTGAAATTGAACAAAATCAAAAGAACCCAACTATACACAAATTGATTCCATACCCATACAGAGAAAAGACAGATTTCAGAAAACTTTTGAACACAGTACTCTGAGTGGATATCCTGTGCAAGACGTATTCTAAGGACAAAAAGAACTGCAAAATGATCTTAAACTTCGCTCAGTAGGTTTACTATTAGTGGTTATATTAGAATTGTAATTTGAAACCAAATAATTGTTGCAAGAAAAAGCAAATACCTAAATATGTTGATATTTTAAGGAACCAAGATTTTCAGTGTAAGGGAAAAGAAATGCAAATAGAAGATAAGGAAAGACAATCCTCTGATGTTAAATTAGAATTGGTACAAAATGTAAGAAATGAAACTATACAATAAAAATTTTTGTAACTCTGACCCCTGAAAGGGCCTTAGAAGTGGGGACCCAGGCAGCTGCCTAATCTGTACATTGCAAAGGCCTTCTCTGGTTTTCCATTTCTTAGATTTTTAATCATTTTTTGGAATTTTCCATCCTAATAAATCCTTAATAACCTTAAACAAAGCAGTCAACTTGCTTGTTGTTCCCGTATTTCTTTAGAGTATCCAGCCTAGTGTCGCCCCTTGCAGAGACCACTCAATTCAGGTTGTTGACTGACTGATTTCCCCTGAGGCTGCCGGGTTATTGTAGACTAACAGCTACAGGAGTTTAGATGGTGCTACAGCAGCAGACCTCATTTTGGGCGAAAGCTCAGTATATAACTTAGAGAAGTTTTACCTTCTCAACACACTCAAGCTACCTACTTCCTCCTACTTCGTGAGGAAAGGAGAGCAGCTATCTTCTCTCCGTATCTACCAACCATCTTGTGCAGTAACCCTCCAGTCAGGAAGAGCCCATGCCCCTATCAAAGCCCGAATTTTCCACTTGTGTCCTGGACTCCAGGGCACAAACACCCTCTACTAGTCCCCACCTTGAAACACAACCCAACAACAACAAAGATCACACATCTTTCATCAGACATCTTCTTCCAGCTGCTGCTTCATTTCTCGGATCACCTACATCACAAAATCATCAAAATAGTTGTCTAAAGACATCATTTCTACTCCTCACATTCATTATCTCCTCAACCCTCTCAGCCAGTCTCTGGTCCTCACCACCCCACTGGCACTGCCCTTGTCAGGGTGGCCCATGGCCTCCTTTGTTGCCAAATCCAACCACCATTTCTGTTTTCATCTCACTCAACCTCTGGGCAGTGGACTACACAGTTGATCTTTCTCTTTTTGAAATACTTTCTTCCATAGAAGTCCAGTTTTCCTCCCTTCTCACAGATTCCTTCTGAGTCTCCTCCTTCTTCGGTCTGTGGTCACCCATGTTGGAGGGCCCTTGGACGCAGCTGTCAGACTTCAATTTATACTCTCCTTGAGTCATCTCATTCAGCCTTATGTTAAATATTTTCTACATAGAGATGAAGAACAAATTCACACTTTTAGCTTGAATCTCTTTCCTGAGCTTCTGAAGCATTCATTCATCCAGTTGCCTGTTGAACATCTCTACCTGGAGTCAGGCTGCCTAGGTTTGTATTCCAGTCCCTACTTCTGTGCCCTTGTGTTACTAGCTTTATCTGTGAAGTGGAGATGATAATAGCACCTACTTCACTAGGTTATTTAGAACAGTGCTGGCAAAAAGGAAGTGCTCAATAAATACCCTATTTCTTTACTTGTTTAAATTCCTTATTAGAAGTTGAGAGAAGGAACCTTGTTTACGTGTCTAATTCAACAGTGAATTCTCGAGGCCTGTCATATAGTAGGAGCTCCATATTGATTTAATGAATGAATGAATGAAAGAATTTCTTCAAAGGAGGAAAAGCAGTGCATCCAAAAATCAGCTGAATTGCCACTGGCTGTGCCTTGGCTGGAGAGGTCATCCATGGCTTTTTTCCAACTTCCCAGCACAGTGTCTTTGGAATTTTTGTTCTCGTTGATCAAGTCCTAGGAGCGAAATGGCATTCCTGCCTCTGGTATCTGATAGCGTGGGCCATGTGTCTATTTTTTTTGTTTTTAATGTGAAACATAGTTTATTGTTCAAACCCATCAATACAGTAATGCTTTTTCATTTAGACTCAGTTTCACAAGCACTTAATAGAAACCTAGAAAGAAGTTCTATTATGTAAAAATCTATATATGTATATCTATAGAAAGATATAGATACAATAGAAATATATATTTATATATGACTGGAATAAATTTAAGTATGACAACGAAAGAATTTTCTTGGCGGTCAGAAAACAGGGACCGGGTACAGGGGGTCGGTTTGGAAGATTTTGCCGAATAAGAGTACATAAGGGCAGGAAAAAAGGTTGAACAAAGGTTTTTACAAAGCAGCGCACAGAGTAGCCCGGGTCCCACCACCCAGCTCCGCGCCCCCGGCCCGCGCCCCCGCCCGCGCCCCGCCCGCGCCCCGCCCCGCCCTGAGCCCCGCCCCCGCCCCAGCCCCCAGCCCCAGCCCCGCTCCCAGCCCGCTCCCGCCCGCTCCCCGGCCCGCCCCGCTCCCCGGCCCCGCCCCCAGCCCCGCTCCCGCCCGCTCCCGGCCCCGCCCTCAGCCCCGCTCCCAGCCCCGCTCCCGCCCGCTCCCCGCCCGCTCCCCGGCCCGCCCCCAGCCCCGCTCCCAGCCGCGCTCCGCCCACTCCCCGCCCGCTCCCCGGCCCAGCCCCGCTCCCCGGCCCCGCCCACACCCCGCCCGCTCCCCGGCCCAGCCCACACCCCGCCCGCTCCCCGGCCCAGCCCTGCATCCCGGCGGAACCCGGTGGAGCCGCGCCGCGCTGGGAACCGTCTGCAGAGTCAGGAGCTCCCCCGCCCCCGAATTCCCCAGGCCTGCGTGGCCGCGGCAGCCCAAGCCGGTCAGCGAGGAAAGATGGCCGCCCTGACGACGGTCGTGGTGGCGGCGGCGGCCACCGCTGTAGCCGGGGCTGTGGCGGGGGCGGGCGCGACCCCCGGGACCGGCGTGGGAGCAGCGCCTGTGCCGCAACAGGTAAACCGAGGAGGGCTGGGAGCCTCTCTGGTGGCTGGCGTGGGCCTGAGGGGGCTGCAGGTCCCGGAGGCGGGACGGGGCCCCCGCCCTCGCTGAACAGGTGTCTTCTGCAGCGCGGCCCCGGGAGGCGGGAGGCGCGGGGTTAGCCTCCCTTTGCTCGCGGCCTGGCGCACGCCGGGCGTTGCGCTTTGTTCTCTTGTGCATTAAGCTGCTCTTGTAGAGCCACGTCCATGTGGTTTTGGAATCAAGAAAGACCTGGGTGGAAACCTGGCTCTGCCGCTTCCTAGCGTGTGATAGGAACATACTTATCCTCTAGGCGACTCAGTTTCTTCTCTGAAAATTGGAGCTAATAATATGCACCTTCTCGAGCCGTGGACATCTGTCTGGGAAGCCCCTGGGACAATGCTTGGTTGGAGAGGGATTCAGTGCCCAGTAACTGGTGGCTGATGTATTGCACCTGCGCTGGGAACACAAAGAGGAATCCAATATGGGATGGTCCGAGGCAGATGAGTTCCCAGAGATCCTCTTAGGACCCCTTTCTCCGCAGTAAGAACCAGAGGATCCCTGAAAGAGATTGTTGGATCCAGTGGCTCAAGGCAAAGATCTTGACTCCTCTCATTCTCTCACAGACCACACCCAAAGCATGGGCAATTCCTGCCTGTTCTGCCTTCAGGATAAGTCCAGAATCCCACTGTTCTCACTGTCTCCAGTGCTGCTGCCCTTGTCCACACTGTCATTTCTCCACTGGCTGAAATACTTTTCTGATTGGTTTCTATTCTTTCACTCTTTCCTTCCCAAAGTATTCTCAACACCCAGGGCAATTCAGTCTAATAATGACACTCTTCTGCTCAGAACCCTCAGAGTAAACCCGACGTCTTTACCATGGTTTTCAGGGTGTATGAGCTTCCCCCACCACGGCCCTCTCACCTCTTCTCCAGTCCTCTGCAACCATACCAGCTTCGTGGTCCCTCAGACATGCCAAGGACTCTCCTGCCTCATATATCTTTGCAATTGCGATAGCTTTGCAATTGCTATTCCCTCTGCTTGGAATGCTCTTCCCTCATGGTCCCATGGCTAGCACTGTCACTGCCTTCAGATATCTTTGTTCAAATGCCATCAGCTCAATGATCCTTTCCATGACCTCCCCAAACTGAATCCCCTTTTCCAGCACACCGTGTTGCCTTTTCCGGTTTTATTTTTCTCCATAGTGCTTATTACCATGTAATATATTACCTATTTTTTTATTGTCTTTCTCCACCTGCCGCTGCCCCCCACCGTGGGAATGTAAGCTCTATGAGGGCAGAAACTACTGGAAGTTTTACTCACTACTGCATTCCCAGCTCCAAGAACTGTGCCTGTTTAGTTCATAGTAGGAACATCGCAGACATGCACTGAATATTTGTGGATCACTCCAAACCTGAAGGAAGGCTATTGTGAGCTGAGGACAGGTTCCATGTTTTTCTTCCTCTAAGAAAATATAGTGATTTTCTGTCTTTACTTGTATAAGTTCAGGAAATTCCACTTCAGGCCAATTTTCTCACACATCGTCTGTAATTCTCTTTATTATTCTAATTCTGGCCCAAATGTCTCAGGGAAAAAAAAATATAAAATATATAAAGACACACATAAAATATTTTTAAGTAACTTAAGAATATATTTTTGAATGTATGATCCTAGTAGTTTAGCCATCTTGCTGGCTTTCTCCATACAACCTTTCTGGCTTACTCTAGTTCACAGTGACTTGTTCTCTAGATTCTTGTAACCATGTTTTACCTCCTGGTTTACATTTCTCACAAGCTGCCTAATGTTATTGATGCAGACTTGTATCACTCCTCTATGGTGATTCTCAGAGGTTTGCCTTTCCAGGGGTTGGATCAGAATCACCTGTGGAGCTGGTTCAACTGTTTTATCAGTTTCCTACATTTAGCAACGTCTGGAGACATTTTTGGATGTCATGACATTGTGGGGAGGGGTGGGGCAAAGGTGTGCTATTAGCATCTAGTGGGCAAAGGCCAAAGGACAGCCCCCTACAACAAAAAATTATCTGGTCCAAAATGTCAGTAGTACTGAAGTTGAGCCCCCCTGCTTCATCTTCTCTTACTGCCTTAGGGAAGACAGAGCCTCGTAGTTGACAATCATAGCAGTAATGCGGTAGAATTCCTCAAGGGTGTTTGGGCTTTAAAACAGAATTGTAACCGTTGCTGTACCATATTATGAGATTTTCAAGTTTAGCTGTGATATCCCTCTTTATACTTCTGTCACATGCTGCACACATGCCCAAACACTCAGATTCTACAGCCTAACACTGAACTCGAATATTTGTCATATGATTCAATCAGTGAGTGTTCCTATTGACTCTAACAGTGAAACCAACTAATATTTTCTTGAGAAGAGAGAATTTTCCTGATGACATTCTCGTGATGTTAGAGATGCCCACCAAAATATCCAAAATTCCTATATTAGTCTGCTGTCCATAACAAAATACTACAGACGAGGGCTTAAACAACAGAAAATTTTTTTTATAGCTCTGGATGGGAGAAGGTGGTGTCAGAATTGATTTCTGGTGTGACCTTTCTTCTTGGCTTGTAGGTGGCCACCTTCTCGTGTGTCCTCGTGTGGCCTTTCCTCTGTGCCTGTGCAGAGAGACAGAGAGAGAGAGCTCTCTGGTGTTGCTTCCTCTTCTTATAAAGATACCAGTCCTATTAGATTAGGACCCCACTTTTATGACCTCATTTAACCTTAATTACATCTTAAAGGCCCCATCTCCAGATATAGTCACAAAGAGGGTTAGGGCTTCAACACACAAATTTTGGGGGAACATAATTCAATTCATAACAGTTCCCTTAAATTATTTTGGAGTAATTATCTTTGAAATTTTCAAATGATTTTTTATTGTGTTTTATTCTACAACCTCCTTAGGATGTGAAATCTCATAAATTTCTTACCTATTATGAAAAGTAATAATACCTTATCTATGTACCTTTTTAATATTTGTATATTATTTGTTCATTATCCCCCCCCATTGCTTTTCAAGACTGGAGATGACAAATCTCTTTACCCTCCTCTCAAATGCCACTTTCTTGTTGATCATTTTAATTGTTGAATTATTACTGTTTTGAAGTATTCCTAACAGATCACACTAGGTATGTCCTCGTTTTGTACGAGGATAGGGCTGTGTCTTCTGTTTTGTTTTATTTCTGTTGACCTTCCCTGTGATGGTCTAAATTTTATGGCCCGTGGCTGCCTGGAGTAGTCCTTGAGTAATAACTACATTCCTTCTCTGACTTTAAATGAATTTCCTCTAGAAGATCATGCACATGTGTAGGGCTCTGTCTTTGTCCAAGTGTGGTAGGCTGAATAATGGCCCCCCAAGGATGTTCATGTTCTGATACCCAGCACCTCTGACTATGTGACCTTGCATGGCAAAAGGGACTTTGCAGATGTGATTAAATAAAGGGTCTTGAGACAGGGAGTTATCCTGGATTAGCTGGGTGGAACTAATTATTCACAAAGGTCATTATAAGAGGAAGGCAGAAGGATCAGAGCCAGTAATAGAAGATGTGACAATGGAAGCAGGAGGATGGAGTGATGTGAAGAAGGGACTATCAGCCATGGAATGAAGGAAACCTCTAAAAGCTGGAAAAAGTAAGGAAGTAGATTCTCCCCTGAAGCCCCCAGAAGGAATGCAGTCCTGCCGACACCTTAATTTTAGACTCGACCACCAGAACTGTAAGAGAATAAATTTGCATTGTTTAACCCTGTAAGTTTATGGTAAACTAATTTGTGGTAAGTTTGTTACAGTAGCAATAGGAAACTAATATATAAGACCAGAGAAGCCCCTAAGTCCTCATCTTTGGCTGAACTGGAAGTTCTGTGCAAGCAGGAAGTGAAGGCTAAGGTTGAATTGTAAACTACCTGCCTGAGTATTGAAGGTGTGTCCCAGCATGCACACAGACCCCTCAGCAAAGGCCGGGAGACTCACTGGTTCAAGGCATCCAAGAAAATTTCTGACCAACCAAATGATAACTAAGGTAACTAAGCAGAGATTTCAGTGCTGTAGAAACGAAGAATACAGACTTTACAGAATTGGTTCAGGAAAGTGCCTAAACAAACAGCAACAACAGCAAACCTTGGGGATGGGAAAGAATCTCATTTTCAGAATTACCACATTCTATTTTTTAAAATAGGTTTTTAACAAAAAAAAATTGTGAGACATGCAAAGAAACAAGAAACTGTGGTCCACACATAGGAGAATTTTTTTTTAAGCAGTGAAAGAAACTGTCCCTAAGGAAGACTGGATGTTGGTTATAATAGACAAAGATTTTAAACCAGCTGTTTTAAATACATTCAAAAAACTAAAAGAAATCATGGCTAAGGAACTAAAAGAAAGTATGAGAATGATGTCTTACCAAAGAAAAAATGTCTATAAAGAGATTACAATTATAAAGAAGAAGCAAATGAAAATTCTGGAGTTAAAAAGTACGAGAACTCAAATGAAAAATTCACTGGAGGGCCTCAACACCAGATTTGAGCTGGCAGAAGAAAGAATCAGCAAACTTGAAGCTAGGTCAATTCAGATTATCTACAGTGAGGAACAGAAAGAAAAAAAGAATGAAGAAAAATGAACCAGAGCCTCAGAGTCCTGTGAGAAACCATCAAGCATTATGCATAATGAGAATCTCAAGAGAGGAGAGAGAAATGGGCAAAAAAAAAAAAAAAGAAAAAAATTTCAAGAAATAATGGCTGAAAACTTCCCAAGTTTGATGAAAAATATTAATCTACACATTGTTAGAGCTCAGTGAATTCTAAGTAGAATAAACTCAGAGATCCATACCTAGACACATCATAATCAAACTATTGAAAGACAGAGACAAAAAGAAAATCTTAAAAGTACTGAAAGAGAAGCAGCTCAAGACATACAAAGGATCCTCAATAAGATTAACAGCTGATTCTTATCAGAAACCTTGGATTCCAGAAGGCAGTGGGATGACATAGTCAAAGAGCTGAAAGAAAAGGACTCTCAAACAATTCTATGTCCAGCAAAATTATTCTCTAAAAATGGAGAAATTAAGACATTCCCAGATAAACAAAACTATGAGAATTCATTGCCAGCAGTTCTGCCTTAGAAGAAATATTAAAGGAAGTCCTTCAAACTTAAATAAAAAGACACTAGACAGTAATTCAAATCCACATGAAGGATAATGTGAATAATATGACTAAAGAGTACTGGTAAAGGTAAATATAGGGGTAAATATAAAAACTAGTATAAATGTATTTTTTTGTTCATAACACACTTTTTTCGGAAAATAGAAGAGGGAACACTTCTCAACTCATTTGATAAGACCAGTATTACCCTGATATCAAAATCAGACAAAGACATCATAAGAAAGAAAATATCAGACCAGTATCTCTCATGAATACAGATGCAAAAATTCTCAACAAAATAGTAGCAAACCAAATCTAACAACATATGCAAAGGATTGTACACCATGATCAATTGGGACTATTCCAGACTTGCAGGGTTGGTTCAACATATGAAAATCAATCATTATAATAGAAAATATTAATAGAATAAAGGACAAAAACCACATGATCATCTTAATAGATGTAGAAATATTGATTGACAAAATCCAACACCATTTCATGATTAAAATATTCAATAAACTAGCAATATAAGGGAACTCCTCAACCTGATAAAGGTATCTATGAAACACCCACAGCTAACATAATACGTAATGATGAACAATGAAAAGCTTTCCCCATGAGATCAGGAACAAGACAAGAATTCCACTCTCACCACTTTATTCACTGGAGATTCTAGCCAAGGCAATTAGGCATGAAAAACAAACAAAAAGCATCCAGATGGAAAAGAAGTAGTAAAATTATCCTTATTTGCAGGTAGCATGATTTTGTATATATTAAAGAATCCACAAAAAAACTACTAGAGCTAATAAGTTCAGCAGGATTGCAGGATACAAGAGCAACATACAAAAATCACTTATACTTCTTTATGCTGGCAATGGACAATCCAAAAATGAAATTAAGAAAATAATTCCATTTACAATGGTATCATAGAATAGAGTACATAGGAATGACTGACTTTAACAAAAAGGTACAACGCTTATACTCAGAAAACACTGCGGGCTGGCTCTGTGGCCGAGTGGTTAAGTTCGTGCGCTCCGCTGCGACAGCCCAGGGTTCGGATCCTGGGCGTGGACATGGCACCACTCGTCAGGCCATTTTGAGGCAGCGTCCCACATCCCACAACTAGAAAGACCTGCAACTAAGATATACAAATATGTACGGAGGGGTTTGGGGAGATAAAGCCGAAAAAAAAAAAAAGATTGGCAACAGTTGTTAGCCCAGGTGCCAATCTTTAAAAACAAAAGAAAAAAAAAAGAAAACTCTGAAACATAATTTAAAGAAATTAAAGAAGACTTACATTAGTGGACATTTTGTGTTTATGAGTATGAAGACTTAGTATTAAGATGGCCATACTCCCAAAATTGATTTACATATCCAGTGCAGTCCCCATCAAAAGCTCAGCTGCCTTTTTTTTTGCAGAAATTGACAAGCTTATCCTAAAATTCATATGGAACATGCAAAGGACCCAAAATAGCCACAGCAATCTTGAAGAACAAAGTTGGAGGACTCACAGTCTTCTTAATTCTAAAGCTTCTTCCAAACTACAGTAATCAACAGTGTGGTACTGGCATAAGGATAGACATATAGATCAGTTAAAGTTAAGAGGTAAACTCTTATAGGTATAAGCAATTGATTTTCTATGGGTGCCAAGATAATTCAGTAAGGAAAGAATAGTCTTTTCAACAAATGGTGTTGAGACAACTCCATATCCACAAACAAAAGAGTGAGATTGGACTTTTACCACATACCATGCACAAAAATTAACTCAAAATGGTTAAAACACCTAAATGTAAGAGATAAAAATATAAAAGTTTTAGAAGAAAATAGGTGGGAGTCTTCATGACCTTTGGTTAGATGATGGTTTCTTTTATATACACCTAATGCACAAGCAACCAAAGATAAAATAGATAAATTGGACTTTACCAAAATTGAAAACTTTTGTGTTTCAAAGGACATTATCAAAAAAAGTGAAAAGACACTTGATGAGAATGTAAAATTGTGCAGCCAGTGTGGAAAACAGTTTGGCAATTCTTCAAATAGTTAAAAACTTTTGTGCTTTGAAGGACGTTATCAAGAAAGTGAAAAGACAACTCAGAGAATGGGGGAAAATATTTGCAAATCATATACCTGATAAGGGACTTATATCCAGAATATATAAAGAATGCTTCCAACTCAACAATAAAAAGATGACCCAATTTTACAAATGGGAAAGTAAAAAATAGAGTTACCTTATGATCCAGAAATTCCACTGCTAGGTATATGCCCAAGAGAATTGAAAACATATATTCTTACTAAAATTTGTACAGAAATGTTCATAGCAGCATTATTCATATTGGCCAAATAGTGGAAATAACCCAGTTGTTCATCAGCTGATGAATGGCTAAACAAAATGTGGTAGATCCATATAATAGAACATTATTTGGCCATAGAAAGGAGTGAAGTACAGATGCATGGTACAAACGGATGAATCTTGAAAACATGCTAATTGAAACATGCACACACAAAAGGCTACATATTGTGTGATCCCATTTATATTAATTGTCCAGAACAGGCAAAGCCATAGTCAAAAATAGATTAATGATTGCCAAACGCTGGGGGGAAGAGGGTTGGGGAGTGACTACTAATGGATACTTAGGGTATTAATGGGTTTCTTTCTGGCATGATGAAAATATTCTGGAGTTAGATAATGGTGATGGTTGCACAAATTTGTGAATATACTTAAAGCCATAGCTGTACATTTTAAATGGCTACATTTTATGGTATGTGAATGATATCTCAATTAAAAAAATATTTCCTAAAGTCATTACTTTATTCTTGCTTGCTTCTAGAAATGTAAAGCCTCGTTTCCTTTTTCCCTCATCTTGCACGTTAGTCTGTCAGCAATTCCTCTTCGTTATACCTCCAAAATGTGTTTAGTCATCTTCTTTTAATCTGCACCGTCACCCATAGTCCTAGACACTATCCTTCCTTGTCTGTGTGGCTAAACCAGCTACCTCACTGATCCTTCTGCTTCCAGTCTTGCCTCACCTCCTCCCCCACCTCTCACCAATTTATTCTCCAAATAGTATCCAGAAAGATTTTGTTAAAAAATTAAATATGCTGTGGCATTCTCCTGCTCAAAAACCTTTAGTAAAATTCAGACTCCCTAAGTGACTTAAAATGCCAATGTGATATGCCGGGTACCTACCTCTCTGCTCTCATCTCCTACCAAGCTCCCCACCTTTACTAATCGCACGTCACAATTGCCCTTCCTCTCTTCCTCTGCTTGAACTAGCCAAGGTCTTTCCTGCTCTAGAGCTTTTGCACGTGCTGGTCTCTCTGCCTGGGACAGCTTTCCTACTGCTTTTGGCACGGCTGGCTCTGTTCTTCCTTAAACATCAACCCCTTGAATAGAACTTCTGTGACCATTCTGACTGCAAAAACAACCCTTTACCCCATTGTCTCCATCCATTTTATTATTGAGTATAAATGTATTTTTGTTTTCTATGCAGAGTGATGGATGTTTTGGTACTTCAGGTGGAATTCGTCCTTTTCAGCTTCAAAACTGGAAGCAGAAAGTTAGTCGGACTAAGAAAGCAGAATTTATACGCACAGCAGAAAAATTTAAAAATCAGTAAGTATAAGAACACTATCTTCAAATAGTATTACTAGCCATTTTATTAAGAACAATGTAAAGTTAATTCTACTCCACCCAGTCCAACCCCACATTAAGTTACAAAATTCTAACCACTAGCCTTTCACATACAAAACAAGAGAAAGGTAGGAAGTGTGAAATAGACAGATGATAGATAATAGACTATTTAATATAAAATTAATTTTTAATAGAGTTATTTAAACTTTATTTATTTTTACCATTTGAATCAGTATAGTTCAAGGGTAATGAAACAGTAGTAACTCAAATAAGTACTCAAGTAGTAATCAAATAAGAAATTGAATACATTTTTCACTTAGCAAGGTAAGCATTTAGTAAATATTTTTGAATGAGTGAATAGTGAAAAGTCTGTACTCTCCAGTTATTTTTTTGAAACGGACTTTTAAGTGGTTTCCCTCCCCTTGGTCTCTGCCCCTTTCAGAACCCTCCTGCACATTACGACTAGACTAACTGAAAAGTTGCCATTTGTTTTAATTTTTAGTGTCTATGTATTTTTTCTTTAAATAACCAGTGATTTTTATTGTGTTCAATGCCCTCAGCAGCACCATGATATAAATATTCTGAAGAATGATAAAATAATTAGAACTCAGAGCACCCAACCTTACCCTATAGTGGAAAGCTTTATAAAAAACACTGCTTTGAACTTATACAGTATCAATTTGCTAAAGAACCAAGAGAACAGGAGTCTTTTGTAAGAAATGGTCTCTGGACCAGAATTAGTGGCAATTGTTTAGAAATTCTACCAATAAAAAAGTATATTGTTTGAATTTTGAAAAGTGATACCATCCTATGCTTTTATCATGTATGCATATGTACTATACTACCATACTATAGCTTTGAGAGGTTGAATTTTCACTGCATTTATATAATATTTGTATTTTTAATACTCAGAATTTGAGAAAATACAATTTTATTTTCTTTGATTTCCAAAATGCATTTCCTTAGATAGCATTGGACTCTGAGTTAGGGGTGCTGGTTTATCTTTCTCTCTAGAGAGGGTAATCTACCAAGCAGTGAATGTCCATATAGATATAAACCAGTAGATTATGCCAGTACAGATACCTCGTCTACTAGTATGTGTTGGTTTTACAGCTCTGTTTAGGCTTTCTTCATCTGTTAGAAGGTTTTAGAAAAACTCGTGGGAAAATAAGTGTTAGAAAAATCCATTGGATGAGCGTTTCTAGAGCCAGCTCCGATAGTCTAGCAGTTAAAGTTTGGCGCACTCCACTTCAATGGCCCAGGTTCACTTCCTGGGCGTGGATCCACACCACTTGACTGTCAGTAGCCATGCTGTGGCTGTGGCTGACATAGAAGAACCAGAAGAATTTACAGCCATACACAACTATGTACTGGGGCTTTGCAGGGATGGGGGGGCAGGGAGGAAGATTGGCAACAGATGTTAGCTTAGGGTAAATCTTCCCCTGCAAAAAAAAAAAGAGTGTTTCTATCCAACAGTTCTCATGGATACAAAGGAAAAAACACAATGTGTAATATAATTCTGTTTTATTTTCAGAGTAGGTAATACATTCACATGATTCAAAAATCAGTGCATATCAGGGGACACAGTGGAAGGTCTCTGTTTTACCCCTGACCCCAGCCACCTACTTCCCCTCCTCAGACAACCACTATTTTTAGTTTCTTGTGTATCCTTCTACAGATATTTTATGTGCTTATAAGGAGACAAAAATACATATTGAGATTTTTCCTTTCTTATATAAATGATGGTATACTGTACACACTGTTCTGCACCTTGTTTTGTTTTGTTTTAACTTAAGAGTGTATCTTAGATACCAAGAAATTTTGATTTTTGTCAGGCATGATGATGGCATTATAATGTAATGTAAGTCAAATATCCATAATCTCTAGAGATACAAACTGAAGTATGTTGGGGTGAAATTACATAATGTAGTGGGTTTACTTTAAAATACTTACGTAAAAAAAAAAAAAGGAAAAGAAAGAGACAAACCAAGAGAGGGGAAAGTATCGCATCAGTGATGTGAGAGACATATCATATGAGGGTGTACGAGGCGGGTCAATTTATTATTCTCTACTTTTGGGTATGTCTAACCTTTTCATGTAAAACTTTTGTTACAAAAAGAGTATATCTTGGAGATCTTTCCCTGTCAGTACGTAAAACACAGTACCACTGCCTTGTGTTCCAGTGTATGAATGTACCATAATTCATTTGACCTGCCTCTTAGTGATGGACATTTAGGTTATATTCAGTCTTTTGTTTTAACAAACAGTCCTGCAGTTAATTGCATTATCCACATAGGTCCACATCATCTTGCATATGTGTGAGTGTATCTTTAGGTAAAATTCCTAGAAGTCAAAATGCTGGGTCAAAGGTATATGAATTTTCAGATATGATAAATATTGCTAAATTGTCCTGCATAGGCAATTTGAAATTCCACCAGCAATTTATGAGAGGACCTATTTTTCCCACAGTTTTGTCAACAGAATATATTATTTAAACTTGTGACTTTTTGCCAATCTGATAGGTGTACAGTGTTGCCATGGAATAATTCTAGTTTGCATTTCTCCTATTATGAGTGAGGTTGAGCATCTTTTCATATGCTTGGCAATTTGTCTCCATCAGTATGTTTTGAATGTCTTTATAGGTTAATATTTCTAAGCCGGGAATGGCAAAACATAACTTACTTACTGTCACAGCATATCCTGTGTCCATGGCAGATATTTTGATCATAGTAATTTCCCCCACCTGCAACCAGAGCCTAGATTGGCTTCCCAGTCCTCAGCACAGGACTCCAGTAGCCATCCTACTCCATTAGAGCTGACCTGTAGACTGAAGTCTATTTGACATCCCTGTTCTTCCCATTGCTTCTTCTCCCAAACATACCTCCTGATTATGATCCCCTCAGCCTTTGGGGCAGCCAGGTAAGACCTGAGATAGTCTCATCTGTTTACCCTAATGCACCTTATAAATATTAAAATTTTCTCTATGTGTGGCAAAATGAAAAAGATTGGGAAGCTCTGCCTTAGATGGTTGTCCTTCAGGTTGTATGAAATTAAGTCAATGGCCAGAGACACTCTATCACTCATTAAATCCAGGATTAGTGGAGAAGAATTCATATTAATTTCTACTTTCTGGGAGTAAGACAACAGGTTTTGAAAAATAAATTTCTAAGTCCAACCAAAAAGTTTCTTGATAGTATTTGTTTTGTTTTACCCGAGGGCTCAATCCAACAATTAGAACTCCTTACTGGTAGATGGACTAAATCCAACGAACGAAAATGAGACAAAAGAAGCTTTGAAGTAAATGTAGACAATATCCCTTAAATATCCTAAAATGCCTTACTTCATAGATTGTTTATCACTCAAAGTTTTAGTTTTATTAGCAATATTAATAACTTGCATTTCCATAGTACATTTTTACTGTGTAAAGATCCCTCACATATATTATCTCATATAAGGTTAATGACAGCCCCTTTAGGTAGTGGAAAGCTGTTACTACTCCTTTTAGTGATAAGGCAGTTCACACCAGGAGAGGTTAATATCATTCACTTTTTAGTGATGAGGTGGTTCACACCAAGAGAGGTCAAATGTCCGGACTCAGGTTACAAAGTGAACGGTATCTATTGAAAGCAGCCATCAGCAGTGGTGGCCATTTTCAGGCCACAGTGAGATTGAGTTGGAGTCAATAGCCAAATAGGTATTGTATTTTCAAAGCAAGCCTGTGACTGCATTTTCCTGAACTAACATTTTGTAATTTAAATAACAATTCACATTATTTGTGATTTTACTTGAACTCTTTTCTGGCTACTATTTTGACTCCTTAGCCTTATCAATCCAAGTAATTATATTTTGACTCCTTATTTGAATTAATCCAGATATAAAGTACTGATTATTATGAGTGTCTTCATATTTTAAACAATTAAAAATATATTTAAATCATATTTATACCATTTGTTTCTTTCCTTAAAGAGTTATTAACATAGAAAAAGATAAACACAGTGATTTCTACAACCAAAAGAGTGACTTCAGAATTGAGCATGGTATGCTGGAAGAATTGGAAAATAAGTTGATTAACAGCAGGAAAGCAGAAAGTAAGTTGAGTTCACGATGAACAAAAACTGTTGAGTGATATAAAGGTGGAGTTTTACCCTGTGCTTGTCTTTGTGCATTGACTGTGTTGTATTCTCTGTCAGGATTCTTCCTATGTGGTAATAAGTTTGTCTTCCTATGTGTATTTCTTATAATTTAATAGGAAAAAGAGGGTTTTGTTTTCTGGTTGACAAACCAATGAATCTATTAAAATTTTGTAAAATAAAGGGAAATTGATTCCTGGGCTCTCTGACCTTAGCTCATCACCCTAGTATTGTTGACCGAGACCTGGACTAAGTGAACATCAACAGATTTAGAACCTATACGTAGTAGTAATGTGAAGTGGTCAAGTCACATAATTGCTTAAACCTGAGTTTACTTGTCTGTGATATAAAACCTACCATCTCTACCTCAGGAGAGCTGTCCTGTGCAGCCCATGAGATAATATATGAGAAAGTGCCTTATCGATTGTACAGCAAATATGTTCTTTTGTTTGTTATGAATATCAATCATTGTTAATAGTGTACTAAATATTGGTCTTAAAGAAGAATTGTGCAAGAATACCTTGTTTTATCATAGAGTAGATTTTATATGTTGTAAAATCTTTGTTTTAATTAAAAATTGCTTAGCATTGCTTAAAGGAAAAATAATGGTTATCAACTGACTAAGCTTTATAAAATATTAAGACTTATATAGAGAAATTATGCTGCTAACGGTAATCCGTTATAGCCAATTAAAAGAAATTCTTAAATCTTTTTCTTTCAGAATATGAGATTGCACTATTTTTAAAAGTCGTCTTTTGTCAGGTAGTGACAAGAATCTATCTCCCTCTTCTGTTGGAATGACACCAAGACCTAATATAAAAACCGAATTTCTAGTTCTCCTCTTTGATTCTTAGAGAAATCTAAACATCCCTAGTTTAATGTTTCCTTTTTTTTTTTTTTGAGGAAGAAAAGCCCTGAGCTAACATCTGCCACCAATCCTCCTCTTTTTTTGCTGAGGAAGACTGGCCCTGAGCTAAGATCCGTGCCCATCTTCTCCTATTTCATATGTGGAATACCTGCCACAGCATGGCTTGACAAGCAGTGCATAGGTCTCCACCTGGGATCTGAACCGGTGAACCCTGGGCTGCCAAAGCAGAACGTGTGAACTTAACTCCTGCACCACCGGGCTGGCCCTTAATACTTCTTAATTTTGCTCAGTTCTTTTGTAGACAGTTGAGAGGCTGATCTTTCTATCATGCCGTTAAGTACAGTGTCTCCATTCTGTGCATTTTAAGATACCTGGTATTCTCTTTTTTAAGGCAACTTTAATTTTATCTTTTTATTTCCCTTTGTTCAATGATTTTGCCTCTCTTTATTCACACTTTGTTATTCACACACTCTCAGAGAAGAAGGAATGCACTGTCTTAGTATAAAGAGACAGAAGTTTCCCCTTCCCGTATTACAGCTCAGAAATAGTAAATACCTTTTCCTTGCCTTAAATCTCATGCCACAGTTTTAGCCCACATTTATGTAATATGGTACTTAAATGGTTTGCCTATACAGAGTGGCGGTTCCAAATGAATAAATAAAAGATAATTTGCCCTACAGTGGTTATCACTGTAGCTGAGGAAACTGTGGCAAAAACAAAACAATAACAAACACTTTTTTAATTACTTAACTTTACTAGAGAAGTTTCTTGAGCTAAAATCCAACAGTAAGTAAGACCCTATAAAATATGTTGGATATAGTTTCTGCTTTTATGGAACTCTTGAATTTTAATAAAAAATGGAACAAACCAAAGTCATATATATATAATTGAGATTTGTTTTGGATATTAGCACTGGCTCCAGGCCCATAGGTAAATATTTTAAAAGATAATTGCTTTTAAGGACTTTTGGACAGAGCTGTTTGGTGCTTTAGGCTCATTTGTGAAAAAGTTGCAAAAAATAACAGGAGGGAGGTGCATACATAAAGAACCCAAAGATGATAAAATAATAATATTACTATTATATGAATATATATATGTATGAAGTGAATATATGATGTTGGCCTAATCATTTAAATAAATATTAAAGTAAGATTATTACTTCAGAAAGAAAATAGGGGAGAAGAATCCAGTTTTTCTGCTGCTGATACAGCACACCTGGAAATGTCTTTGAGACCCTCCTCTGGTTTTGAGGCTTTTATTGCGGGCCTAACATTTTACTTCAGGCTGGTCCTTTGGTTGAGCTGGGCAGCCTGTAGCATAGATACCACTACATGGCACCTGTGACACCTCCTCCAGGCTGTGACAGTGACACCAGAGGGTATCACCAGTCCCTGTCTCAGAGGATGTGGTTAGATGAAATTAATTCTCATTAGGAAATTTGTCAGTATTCATAGAATTAATATTTGTTGGACAGTTTTAGTATCCCAGCAATAGAGTTGAGGTCTATTTCAAATTCTCTTTCCATAAATTTTAGCAAATTAAAAAGAAAAGGAAAAACTGTTAAAGAACAAAACACGACAAAGCCTAAGCTACTGATCCATGTATTTATAACAGTGTCCAATAACTCAATCTCCACAGAGTTAAAAAAAAAGGAGAGACATTTCCTTGTTACAGGTTATAGTAAGATTTAACCCATTGTGCTTTTAAATATTGGAGGAAATGGAGAGAAGCTTTATTTAGAGCAAAGCTACTTGAGATGTCCAGGCTGTTTTGACACTTACAAATCACCATCTTTTGTTCATTGTTTAATTGCTCTTGACTGTCTTTTACTAAGTGATGGTGATCAGTCTTATGTGTAGAATCCTGTATTGTAACTATGTTTGTCACAGAATTATTTTAAAGTGCATACTTCTTCCACATAGGAGCAAAAATCCAGCAACAATTGGCCAAAATACATAACAATGTAAAGAAACTTCAGCATCAGTTAAAAGATGTGAAGCCTACACCTGATTGTAAGTGAATTTAGATTGCATATTCTTTCTTATGAATTCGTATTTTCCCTTGTTTGTTAGAAAAATTTATACTTTTCTAATAAGAAATTTTTCTATTTGGCATTAATGGAGCTAAACCCTACTTTATTGGTTAGGGGTTAATAAGGATGCATTGGAGAACTGTAATACCTGATTTTTATGTAGTTCTTTTAATCTTTAAAATGCTGTCAAATCCTTACAGATCAGAGTAGGCAGAACAGATATTGGTGTCGTTTAGAGGACAGAGAATCTGTGGTGTGGAAAGATTCAGATTCAGCTAATGAAGATGGAAAGAAACTGATTTCTTGATTCTTAGCCTAGTGCTTTTCCTATCATTTGCTTTTGGAAATAATTGCCTTTCGGAGGCATTTCGAATACGTAAGGAAAGGGTTAGATTAAATAGTCTTGGGGCAAATACTAGTCATTTGTAAAAACAAAATTGTATCCCTACCTCTCTACTTACACCAACATTCATTCCTGAAGGATCAAAGCAATATAGTGAGGAGCTCAAGATGTATGGACTTAAGAGTCAGACAGATGTTCGGTCAAATCCTTGATCTGTCAGTTATGTGGTTTTAGGCAAGTTACTTGATCTCCCTGAGCTTTCACTTCCTCAGCTCTGAAATGGAGAGAATCGTAGGGTTGGGGAGATGAAGTGCGACAGTGCACATAAAGCACTTGTGCAGTGCTTATAACATAGTGAGTACGAAAAATGGTAAGTTCAATATAATTATTATTTATTAAATTAATACACGAAATCATAAAAATGCTAGAAGAGAACATGGGTTAATATTCTTATAATTGTATTATAGTTTATAAGAATGACACAGATCAGAAACTGAAAAGACAAAAGTGGACATAATTGACTTTTTAAAAAAAACTTAAACTCATAAGCAAAGTTGAAAGACAATTTAGGAAAATATTAGCAATATATGTGTAACTTAAAAAGCTAATATCCATAATATACAATGAGTGCCTACAAATTACAGCAACAAAGGTAAATAACCTAATAAAAAAACAGGCACAGATTATAAGTTGCACGTTATACTAAAAGCAATACAAAACATATGAAAAAAGTGCTCAGGCTTGTTAATGATCACAAAAATGTCAATTAAATCAATAACAATAGGGGCCAGCCTGGTGGCACAGTGGTTAGGTTTGCACATTCCACTTTGGCGGCCCGGGGTTCACCAGTTTGGATCCCAGGTGCAGACATGGTACTGCTTGGCAGGCTATGCTATGGCAGGCGTCCCGCATATAAAGTAGAGGAAGATGGGCACAGATGTTAGCTCAGGGCCAGTCTTCCTCAGCAAAAGGAGGAGGATTGGCAACAGATGTTAGCTCAGGGCTAATCTTCCTCAAAAAAAAAAGACAATAAATGTTTGCCTTTTATTTTGGAAAAGTGCAAAGTACATGGAAAGGGGCTCTCTCAGGAGCTGTGGGTTGGTAGAGCCTCTTTGAAAGACAATGTGACAGTAAGTAACATACTGTAAAAAGTAGGCATACTGGGTTTTTTTGCTGAGGAAGATTTGCCCTGAGCTAACATCTGTCGCCAATCCTCCTCTTTTTGTGTGAGGAAGATTCACCTGAGCTAACATCTGTGCCAATCTTTATTTTGTACGTGGGTCGCTGCCACAGCATGGCCACCGACAAGTGGTGTAGGTATGCTCTGAACCAAACCCAGGCCACCAAAGCAGAGCATGCCGAACTTAACCACTAGGCAACAGGGCCAGCCCCAATAGGCATACTTTTTTATGTAGCATTTCAAGATTTATCAATTATCCTCTAAAAATATTTGAGCATACAAAACATATATGCAAAGCTATTTACTACAGGATTGCATCTATTTTAAAGGTTAATCAATTGAAGATTCAATTAAATGAATTATGGTAGATTTAGATAATGAAATATTATATAGCCGTAAATAGAATGAGATAGCCATAATATGTATTGATGTGGAAAGTTAACCACTTTTTTTTTTACCACAACATTTTATAAACTAAAAACTGCTTGTCACAAAACAGTATGTGTAGTATGAAACATTTTTTTGTAAAACATAATATTAATATTTAATAATATGTGTGCGTGGGAAAATATCTGTCATCAGAAAAAAATTGCAATCCTAAAAATTAGCTTTATAAAAGCACAATTTTCATATGCTTTAGGTTAAGTAATATTCTTAAATTAAGGGAACATTCCATTTTTTCCTATTATTTCATTCTTAGTCATACTGAAATAGGACATAACATAATTTTTCCATCTTTTTTTTTTTTTTTACAGTTGTTGAAAAGCTCAGAGAAATGATGGAAGAAATTGAAAATGCAATTAACACTTTTAAGGAAGAGCAGAGGTTGATGTATGTTTTAAACTCATTTTAAATATAAAATTAGTGACCTTTATTTTTCAATAATTCTCCACTGGGTTATTGTATATGAACCATTTTATTGTTAGGTATTTAATATTAGTCTTACACAAAAGCATTATAATACCTCTCTTCTTTTGTTTTAGGTTTTAGACTGCTTTTCATGTTGAAAGAGAATTTTTGCTTATATTTGGACAACATAAAAATCCCAAATAAGAATGTGAAAGATTGGTTTTTTCTCTGAGGAAACTCTTTTAAGCCTTAGATTTATAAAGGTTAATAATTTTAAGTGGAGAAGATGACATGAAAAGAGTCAAGAATAATTAAGTTTGAGGGGGAAAATGAAGGGTTAATATGGATTGGTTGGTATCTTTTTATTCAAACTTTATTTTTAAAATTTTAGATATGAAGAGCTCATTAAAGAAGAAAAAACAACTGATAATGAGTTGAGTGCCATATCAAGAAAAATTGACACATGGGCTATGGGTAATTCAGAGACAGAGAAAGCTTTCAGAGCAACGTCAAGCAAAGTTCCTGTAGACAAAGTAACACCAAGTACTCTTCCAGAAGAAGTGGTAGATTTTGAAAAATTCCTCCAGCAAACAGGAGGGCGGCAAGGGGGCTGGGATGATTATGATCACCAGAACTTTGTAAAGGTGAGAAACAAACATAAAGGGAAGCCAACATTTATGGGAGAAGTTCTGGAACACCTTCCTGGAAGAACACAGGATGAAGTTCAACAGCATGAGAAATGGTATCAAAAATTTCTGGCCCTAGAAGAAAGAAAAAAAGAGGTAATAATAATTATAATAGCTCTTGTTTCTTGTATATTTCTGTGCTCCAGGCACTGTGCTAAACTCTTTAACATGTATCAGTAACTTTACAACAACCCTATGAGATATGTTTATAGTTTTTTCCTCCCGTCTTATAAAGGTGAAACTGAGGCATTGGGAAATTAAGTAATTTTACCCAACTAATGGAAGTACAGTTGGATTTCCTCGAGGCCAAACATTTCTACCCCAAGAAATAATACAATGGGTTAAGAAAACTTCTGATTGTGGGCAAAAACCCTCTGTGTCCACCAGAAATGTGGGAAATCCAGATCTATTCAGGCTTTTGATAAAAGTCATCTGACCAGCAAAGGCCACATTGTTTTCAGTAGAAAATAAAGAGGCAGTAAGAAAGAACTCTGGGACTCTTAAAAGTTTTTTTGAGTTTTGGAACCTCAGTCTCATTGCTTATTTTAAAAGACTCAAAATTTTGGCTACCCCAGAGAAAGGAGTAACTCCTTAATTGTAGCAAATACCTAAGAAGTTCCATTTTCACAAAAATATTCTGGCTTTGGTTTAGATCAGGACTTCTCAACCTTGGCACTGTTGACTATTTGGGCTCGCTAGTTCTTTGCCGTAGGCGCTGTCAGCAGCAGCATAGATGGTCAGCAGCATCCCTGGCCTCCACTCACTAGAGGCCAGTCACACCACCTTAGTTGTGATTATAAAAATGTGTGTAGACATTGCCAAATGTCCCCTGGAGGGCAAAAACTGCCCCTGGTTGAGAACTCTGGGTTTAGATAGTCTAAGTCTGAGTCCCTTTTTTGTAGACCTCAGCTATGATAAACTTCAACTCGCTTGGTTTTACAACAAAGATATGACTGTACAACAGATGATATACCTAAGGAATATTAAAGAAATTAAGAAATTAAATGCTGATTAAAGAAATACTGATTCCACATTTAGTCTAAAGTTTTAGAGGAAATAGCTGAGGTTTGTTGTTTGTTCCCTCTGAAATAAGTTGAATGTGGAAAGATTGACATTTAGGACTTTAAGAAAAATTTTTGAAACATAAGTCGATTTTGAAAACTCAAAACAACAAGCTATTAAGAATTATTGAGGCTTTTTTCCCAGGATACTGAAACATGCGGTCCCTGGACCAGCAAAATCAGCATCACTTGGGAACTTGTTAGAACTTACCAAGCCCCAACCCCAGACCTAATGTGAACTCTGGGGGTGGGCCCAGCAAGCTGCTTTAACAAGTCCTCCTGCTTATTCTGTTACAAGCCAGAGTTTGAGAACCAACACTCTAGGGCAAAGGAACAGCCACAGTGCTTCTTGTAATGGAGGTAAACCACCCGGGTTCTAGCTTACTCTTCTTGTCCCCAACCAGTCTACTTCCTGATGTTTGATGATTGATTGGATGTAGGGGTGAGGTAGGAGGAGATGTGAAAGTGGAGGTGCCATTTACTGAAGTAGGACATGTTGGAGGAGAAGAGGAAAATTTGGGGGAAAGCATCGGGAATGTAGTTTTAAATCTATTGAGTTTAAGATGTTGTGTAGGAAATTTACCATTTTTGTCTCCTACTTCCTTTAATATGTCCTATGTTTTGCCTAAATGAAGACGCTTATTTTCAGACATGCCCTGAACTCTCTGGCCTGACTGCCCTTGCTTATCTTATTCTCATTTTCTGGAACCTCCATTTTTTCTTTCCCCCTCCACTGCCAGCCTGTCAAAATCTGTCCAGATCAGATGCTGCTTCCTGCTTGCCCACTCAAACATAAGCAGTCCCCCTCAGAATTTCACTAATACTCTGTTTATACCTCTTTTATGATGTGCTGTGGCGCATTCTGTATTCTAGTCTTGATGCACACATCTTACCTCACCTGGAGCAGTGCCACTCAAACTTGCTCCATGGACTGGATGTTACTTTGCAAACTGTTACTGGTCTTCAGTGAGGTAAAGTGATCATACAAGAATCAGCTAACCAGTAAGCACACTGTTTAGTTCAGGTGACTGTTTTTTTCATAGAAGACTTTCTCGTTGAAGAAAGCAGTACGTTGATTTACATTCTGGCACAAATTCCTGCTATTGTTGTGCACTAGCACTTTGAGTAGCATTGTACTAGATGGCATCTGGTATAGTTTTAAGCATCTGTGGTTCCTATCACATTACCTTGCATATAGTACACATACCATAAGGATTTATTTAATGAGCGAATGATATACCATGAGGAAAATGAAGAAATGGTTTCTTGACGTGAGGAGAAAGTAATTCAGTGGATGTATCCTTTATGGCATAGAGAGGCTGCTAGAAATTTAAATAATCTTTACATACCTATATGTAAAGCTATGGAGTTATTTTAACTTTTTGTTTACACTATGAAGCACTGTGTGCCAGACACTGACTCATTTCGTCTTTGAGATGTACTACCTACCACTTTTACAAATGAGCAAAATAGGGACAGAGAAATTTAGTGACTCATCCAGGGTCGAACTTAGTAAGTGGCAAAGCCGTGATTTGGTCCCAAATAGCCAGCCTGGCTTCACACCCATGCTCTCAACCACCCTACTTTTAATTCCTTTTCTGGTATTTGACTCAAGAAAGGTTGCTCCAAAAGTGCTCTAAGCCTAGAAAGAGGATTTAGAAGCAGAAGTGAGGTGATCAGAAGAAAGCAATATTTCCCATGAACACAAATGAAGGAGGTGAAGGGGAAGAGGACACTTCATGAGGTGCAGTCCTTGTGAACCTGCAGATTAAGAGGAACGCCAAACGAATAAACCATCATTCAGTGGTTCAAAAGATACGTTAATTTTTTTAAAGCAGAAGTAGAAAAAAATTGCATTTGTTTTTTAAAAAACGTACTTTAAAACCTAAGCAGCCAGCATCCTGCAATCAATATTCTTTCTAGAAAGATGGATTTGAGGGTGTATTTTAAAGTGCTTTTGGTTGTTAAAAATATTTTTCTCTTGCTATCTTGTTTTAATCATTTAGTCTATTCAGAATTGGAAAACCAAAAAGCAGCAAAAAAAGGAGGAAATTTTCAAGTTTAAAGAAAAGGCAGAGAACATACCTATGCTTTTTCATAATAAACAAGAAAATAATCAAAAGCAAAAAGAAGAACAAAGAAAGAAGCAGAAATTGGCAGTTGAAGCTTGGAAAAAACAGAAAAGTATAGAAATGTCAATGAAATACGCTTCCCAGTTAAAAGAAGAGGAAGAGAAAGAGAAAAAGCAACAGAAAGAGCGCCAGCGCCAGTTTAAGCTAAAATTACTACTAGAAAGTTACACCCAGCAGAAGAAAGAACAGGAAGAATTTTTGAGACTTGAAAAGGAGATAAGGGAAAAGACAGAAAAGGCAGAAAAAAGGAAAACTGCTGCTGAGGAAATTTCCAGGTTTCAAGAAAGAGTGAGTAAATATGTTTCCTAAATAATTTTTCAGTGTTACACGTAGAGGTATTACTTCCAGATTCAGTTCAGCAAAAATTAATTGAGTGCTTTTTATATATTGGGCCTGTACCTAGCATTAGTGTATCAAAATGAGTGAGGCATGCTCCCTCATTTCTAGTGGATTCTGGCCTAGTGGGAAAGATAGTTGTGCAGGTGGGCGATTTCAGCATAACGTGCTAAGTGGGCTGGTGATTGAGGTGTGGACAGAGAACTTTAAGAGGTGGATACGCAGGGAGGGAAGCCTACCGTAGCTAGAGTGTCAGACAGAAGGTGATACTTGAGTTGAGTCTGGAAGGAGAAGAAAAGGTAAGGAAAGGAGGATCCTTCCTAGCAGAGGGAATAGCATAATTGGCTGCTTGGAGGAGTATAACAGTGTGGTTTGTGGGGGAAACTATACACACTTCGGTGTTCTTAGGGCATCCAGTGGAGGATGAGAGCCAGCAGTAGACAAGGCTGGAAAGGCAGCCATAGGCCAGGCCATGACTGTCTTGTCTTCTCTGCCAAACTGGCTGGTTCTGCCCCACTAGTGATTTGCTTCCTTGTTCACTGTCCATCTCCCCACCATAATGTCAGCTCCATGAGGGCAGAGGTTTTGTCCTTTTTGTTCATTCTTGTACTCTAGGGTCTGGTACATTGTAGATCCTCAATGTATACTTAAGGGAATCAAAGTTACTGCTGAGAGGTAGGATGTAGGTGATTTTAAACAAATATATACAAGAAAAATGCTAATCAAAGAAAGGTTACAATCTGCTTATCAAAGTGGAATTCAGTCCAAAAAGTATTAAAAAAGACAAGAAAGGGTATTTAAAATGAAAAAGGGTGCAAATGAGATATAACTGTTATGAATATAATTGTTATGAATTGTTATGTGCATCAAAATACATAGCAGCAACACTTACACACAAAAAATAAGGGAAATACAAAGAAAAATAATAGATAAAAACACATTAATGGAATTTTTCTTAGTCCATATGTAAAAATATCCCTAAATAACAAAAGATCTCATGCCTCCCCACCCCACAAAGGGGCAAGCACGTCACAGAATAAAATACGTAGAAAAAAGAAAACCTATAAAACAAAATATAATACAAGAGATCTAAAATCAGACATATCTGTGTTGGTAAGTGAAAATGGGCTTACTTCAACTATTAAAAGGAGTTTTACATTACACTGTATAATAAATCAAGATACATGTAAAAGAAGGTGATTCAGAAAGAACCTGCATGTATTACATCTATATTCAGAAAAAATAAAGCTCTTAGCCTTTGTTGGAAAAGGTTAATATTGAAAGAGTATTGATATGTAAAGTAATTTAATTTTACTTGCAAGCAACTAAACTTTGAAACAAATTCTAATTAATTTTACTTTCTTAATGTTACCTTTTCTTATTGGTATATGTTTTTTAGGATTTACATAAACTTGAATTGAAAATTCTGGATAGACAGTCAAAGGAAGATGAAAAGGCAGAAAAACAAAGAAGACTGGCAAAATTAAAGGAAAAGGTACTCTGTACTGACGTTAATTTATTTTTATTGTTATTATCCTAATTCCTTGATTTGTAAGGATACAAACATAAAATCCATTTTCTTTATATCCAGCTTTATTTCTATATCATCTCCTTTAAATTTCATCCTTCATGTATTTACATATTATGAAGCATAGCTTAGTAAAATTTAAGCAACTGTCGTTTAAATTCTACAATTCCACATTATAAGCGCCTCGTTTTCTTTTACCCTAAATTACTTCTGTCTTCTTACTCTTCATTTTCTTCTTTATTCTTCCTCTATGAGCCTCTATTTTGGACCTTTGGCAGCTATGAGCATCTCTTAATCTCACTGGTAATCCTCACAACTAAAGATGTTGGTGACTCTCATGGATAAAACAAAAGACTTACTGGTGGTTATCCATCCTAAATTGATTGCCTGGCTATAGCACTATCCTACTTTGCTGCATTACATTTCCCTCATAATAGAAATAGAAAAAAAATAGAACAATACAATAGAATAAAATAATTTAAGTGGAAAAAATAAACTAACAGTTTAAAACAGATTGATATAGTCTCAAGTTTATTTTAGTTATGTGAGCACAATTAGTTTACTGAAGAGGTTATTAACAGTTTTATTTCTGTTTAGCTAATATTAAGTATATTTCTTAAAACTGCTTTCTATTACTAAGGATCTTACTCACTAGTACCAACTGAATAGTTCATATAAATTAACTGGCACTCATTGTACTTCTGGTTACAGGTTGAAAACAATGTCAGTAGAGATCCCTCTAGACTTTACAGACCTACCAAAGGTTGGGAAGAACGGACCAAAAAGATAGGACCAACAGGCTCTGGGCCACTTCTGCATATCCCACATAGGTAAAAAGGACTTAGAATGAATGTTCACTTTATAATAATTTAATAACTATGTGTTTATATTTTATGTAGTTCTGTATGTATATTATATTTTACAATAAAAAGTTGATAAAGCAAATCTGTATACATTTTTTTAATGTTAACATTTAATCAGTTAGGATTTTTAAAAAATTTCCTATATATTTATAATCGCTCTTCTCTTCTTCTCCTTAGGGCTATTCCAACCTGGAGACAAGGAGTTTAAAAAGAATATGAGATAATGAAATTGGTGTTCAGTTGATAAGAATGTTAGCATGTTCAGTTATACCTGGAGAGAGTAACTAACCATGTTCTTTAGCTGTCACTAGCCTCCAGACTGATTATTGTGTTCTGTGTGAATTGACAGATATCAAGGTCCATGCAGTATTGTCATTAGTATTTCCTGTTTATACTAAGAGGGTACTTAATGTGTATGTTGGCCTATTATTGATGTAAAAGTTTTTTGAATAAGTTTATGTTACAAACATTATTTCATTTAAATACTCAGAACATTTTAAAGATACTTTGTTTTTGTCACAGCATAGCAAAATAAATTGGGACAATGATAAAGTACCATTTTTTAAACCAAAATTTTGTAACAATTATAACTTGGAGGTAAATTAGTTTGAGTAACAAAAGTGTGAAGTTTCTTTTTGAGTTATGAAATACGTTAGTACTTTTTCTAAGTTAACAAATTGGTCATTTGTCAGTTACTACATTTTTGTGTAATAAATATTTTCTATTTGTTTGAAGCATGCTTTGTTTTATATAGAGAATATTTATTTTACAAATATGCTTCTCACCCATATATACTCTATAATTTGTTGTATTGATAGAATCTTTTTGGTTTCCTTTAGCTATTTCAAACTTCCCTTCAGGCCTTCTGGATTTCACACATTTATAAAATCTTTGTGTCTTTCACATCTTCCTGGCTGATGCAGTTTTCTTTTCTGCTTCTGTTTGCCTCAAAATATGAAAATTCTCTGTTCTGAAACATCATCTGAAATAAGTTAGCTTTTGAATACTATGATTTCTCTTGGTGGCATTTAAAATGTTTTAACATTGCTAGACTAATATATTTGGTCAAAAGAGTTAATTTTTAAATTTCTAAACTTTTGTACATGAAAACACAATTTAACTTAATTTGACTCAACTTTTTATATTATAAAATCTTAGTTCCTAAATTTAATTAGTTCCCAACTTATAGGAAATATACCATATATACAAGAAATATAGGAAGCTTATTTCTTATAACATTTTAGAGTATCTTTAATTGTAATTTGATCCATTTAGGTCAAATGACTCAGTCAGAAATTTACTATAAGTAATGGTCAAAATCTTTTCTTATTTCACAGTTAATATTCGAAATAGATGGCTTCCAAATTTTGGAAACTGAATTCTGATTGTACAATTATTGGTACAAAATGAGAGAATTAACATAAAACGTCCTTAATCAGGAATGCCCATTTTATTTGTAGTGCTTGTTCTCCATAACTTTGTTAAATGATATGAGGCAGTTTAGAAATAAAACAGAGAGCAGGACAAGGGATTTAAAACACAGCTGAACTGCTGCAAGATACAGAAAAGTAAAGATTTCTTATCTGTGGCTTTCTAACATTTTTTTATTGTTGTTGCACACACATGCAGCTTTCAATGTCCTGCATTTAAGGTAAGTTTACTGGGTGATGTGATTCTTATGGCTTTTTGTTTATTTTTTGTTTTGCTTTTTAATAAAAGAAATGTGGAACTTTGAAGAAACCAGTCCTTCTAACTGAATCGTAAATAAATGAATTTATTTTATGAATCCTTTATATAAAGGATGTACAATAAACATAATGTCTTCAGTAACAGGCTCATAGAAGAGTTGTCAAAAAAACATTTCTTACACTGGTTTAAAAAGTATATTAACAAGATATTTAGAAAAACACTAAGGGAAAAATTTTATAAAGCACTCATAATTCCACCACCCCAGGGTAACTTTTTCCAAAAATATACTTACATATTTTAAAATAGCTACAGTCATAGGATACATTTTAGTTACTGTAAATCACTTAACATTATATGACATATTTTCTTGTATTTCTATATAATTCAAACATTTAATGGCTAATAATGTTCAATTATATAGATGCTCTATCACTCCTATACTTTGAAGACTTGACCTGGTTACACTTTTTAGCTAATAATGTAGAGTGGCATTTTATGTGGGGGTTAGATTCTGTCATGCATTTGTCAAAAATCTTGTCTGGTCAAAATCTTAAGTAGCTTTGTACTTACCTAGAAGATGTATTATATTATCACACATTGAATCCACCTTGTAAGTATTTGCTCCAGATTTGAATTGGGTTGCTGGTTCTTGAGCTGAAAATCATATGCACCTTTTGGCTTCCCTGTAAGCACCAGATTGAGTAGGATTGTCTTTCTGAACATGTAGAATGTGCATAGTTGATTCTAGTAAGTTAAATGTGTGCAATAAGACTCCGCTTTGAACATCTTCAGACATTTGACAGCGTGTGTATGTAACAGAAGAGAGATCTTAACTGAAATAACAGAGTGAAAACTCCTCTAGACTGGGCATACCTGAAGGGCAAGGACTGTGGCCTCCTTATTAGTAAGGAAGCACCAAGGACAGCCCTCTGTCCTTGGTTAAGGTGGTGTTAAAGACAAGCAGAAATGCCTGTGAATAGTTACTAGCACCTAAAATTAAGTGCCTTGGATTGTTGAACCAGTATAACTCCAGTCCACATGGTACGCTTTTAAGAAATACGTTTTCTAGGAAAGCCAACAATTAAAATTATACTCACTTTTATTAGCACAGTTCGTTATAAAGAACCTAGTTCAGGCCTGATCCTTGGGTGGATTTTCCCCCCAAGACTGCTTCATGAACTTTTAAAGGGAGTAAAATATGGCTGAAGCAATTTAAATCCCCCTTTTTGATAAAAATAGCTAGAAGCATGTTATTGTTTAGTGTATGGGTAGTTGGAGAACATGTTGAGCTTGTTTACTGTTGCATATTGATGCTGGATGACACATTGACTTAAAGAGTAAAATCTTTTAAGACTTGTAAAAGAAAATGGTGCAAGCAGTCACACATATAAATATATGTTATGTAGGTATGCATATTGCATTTATATATATTTTTTAAGTGATTCCTGCTATTCTAGAGAAGACTAGGAATGACTCTCAACTTTTGAAGTGCCAATAATTATTCAATAAACATTTATCTCCATAGTTTGATTTGTAGGTTTAGTTTCCCTATCCATTCATGTTAAATCTGTGGCCTTCCAAAAATGAGTCTGTTGGCAGATTTATACTGGCCCATCCCTGTTTTCATATATAACATCCTTTAGGGTCATGAGTTTTTCTAATCGAACGGGAAGCCAACAGCTTGGACCTTGCACTTCCTCCCAAATATCCAACGAGGATAAAAGTTCTGGAGCGATTTGTGGGCTGAATCTTACAAAGCTTGAGAGGTGTTCCCAAACTTTGGGGTCATAGAGTAGAAAAGTTTGGGTCGTGCGCTACCTAGGGAGAAATCAGAGAGAGAAAACGTTGCGTAAGACTTTCTTTCAACTGTGTAGTTACTACCACAGACCGGGTCTGCGACAGGCGCACGCCCCCTCCCCACCCTCCGCTTCATCTCACACCTCTGGGTCCCTTCGCGCCGCACGCAAATTGCTTCCGGGGCGCGGCAGACGTCGCTTCCGGAGCAACATGGCGGCCACGGAGGACGAGCGGCTGGCCGGTAGTGGGGAAGGAGAGCGGCTGGATTTCCTCCGGGACCGGCACGTGCGGTTCTTCCAGCGCTGCCTCCAGGTCTTGCCGGAGCGCTATTCTTCCCTCGAGACCAGCAGGTAATTCTTGGCCACAGTGAAAGGGGCGGGCACGGTTTCCGGCGCCGCGGAGCCTGAGGGCTAACGGGGAGACCGCTGGGGCTGCGCCGCCGCCCACCCGGCACGGCCCGGGGCTTGCCGTCCCCTTCGTGTCCCCGAGATGCGGCGGGATGGAGGAAGCTGGACGGCGGGGCCTTTTGGAATCTCCAGTTTCCGCCCTTTTCACTTCCCAGCCATTTTCCCTGTCAACTCTGAGCATCCTTTTAGCTGCCTCTCAGCCTGAGACAATTGGCCTCACTTCTTCCGAGTAGAAAGGAAAAAAGACAAAGCGTTTGTCGTCGTATTTTAGATAAGTAGCCTCTCCTGTGCTTCCCTTTTCGTCTCTGAAGTCCTTAGTTCTTAATTGAATGCCTGTATGGTGTTTGATGTGTAGGAGCGGCAGAGAACCTCTAAGGTGGGAGTAGAAATGAACTTTCCAGGAATTCTAAGTCTAACGATAGGAGAAGATCGGCGAAAGAGGTGCGATGGTGCTTGAAGCAGCCTGTTAAAAGTGTGTTTGCCTTGTAAGCTGGAGTTGGCTGAGGAGTGTTATCTGGCAGAGGCTAAGAAACTGAATTAGTCATTCAGAGTAAAAGACTGAAAATGAGAAGAACGAAAGGAGGCGGCGATCTTTGCTCTGCATTGCTGTGTTTTGAAGCGAGGCTCCAAAGCTCCTGGGAAGAGAGTAGATCGTTTTTTACTCTGATCTCTCTCCGCGTTTTCTGAACGCTTCAGTCTCGACGTATTTTGTACATTGCACGACTGGGTCAGTTTTGGAAGTTTTATAGATTGCTTCTGCATATGTGGTCAAGAACTGTTTATTGTGGTTGGTGCTGGAGTACGGCTGAACAAGAAAAGCAAGCCATTTCAACAGAATTCTATGGCATGTGTTAGTATAGGATTCATGGGAGCATATAGGAAGGGCAGGTTCCTAATCCAGGTTTCTTTGGAGAGACTTTCCCTAGTCGCCCTTTCCGAAAGAGACCACTTCCAATCATGGCCTGAAATTATTTATTTATTGGTTTATTTGTTTAATATCTTTCTTTCGCACTGGACTGTAAACTTCATGAAGGCAGAATCTTTGTCTATCTTATTTATGTCTATAACACTGAGGCTGCCTGCTGCAGTATGGTAACCAGTAACTACCTTTGGCTATTTAAATTTGAATTAGTTAAAATTAAATCAAGGGCTGGCCCGGTGACCCGATGGTTGAGTTCACCTGCTCCACTTTGGTGGCTGGGGTTTGTAGGTTCGGATCCCAGATGTGGACCTACACACCAATCATGAAGCCATGCTGGGGTGGAGTCCCACATACAAAATAGAGGGAGATTGGCACAGATGTTAGCTCAGAGACAATCTTCCTCACAAAAGAGAAAAAAATTAAGTTAAAAATTCACTTCCTGGGGCCAGCTGTGGCCAAGTGGTTAAGTTCCCCCGCTCTGCTTCAGTGGCCGGGGTTTCAGTGGTTTCACGGGTTCAGATCCTGGGCGCAAGCCTTCTCACCTCTCATGCAGCCATGCTGAGGCGGTGTCCCATATAGCAACTAGAAGGACCTACAACTAGAATATACAACTGTATCCTGGGGGCTTTGGGAAGAAGAAGAAAAACAAAAAAGATTGGCAACAGATGTTAGCTCAGGGCCAATCTTTAAAAAATTTGTTTTTAAACAAATTTTTAAATTTGTTTGCAGTAGCCGCCATATTTCAAGTGCTCAGTCACCTCATTGGCCAGTGACTTTTGTTTCTATTTCAACATTTCCGTTACCTCAGAAAGTCCTTCTGCACAGCGTTGTGCTAGGACCTTGAATAGTGTCTGGCATGTGAGAAGCACTAAGTGAATATTTGTTGAATAATGTGAGCTGAGGCCAGAAGGATGAACAGATTTTTGTTAAAGTAGGAGCAAAGCATGATTTTTATATTCCTTTCTCCATCCATAGATATTGATTGACTAGCAGACTTAAATGAAGATTTCTAAAACTCAGTCCATTGATCATAATGGTATAGAATATTGAGAAAAATGTTGATAAATCAAATTTATATTTTGTGGGGATTAATTTTATGTGAATTCAAAGTATTTGGGTAACAAAAACCTTCCATCCTATTGTGATTGTTAAACAGTTGAACTTTGCTTGTAGCCATCATTATAGATCCATGGTTGCATTTTCAAAATTCCAATGAGTTTAATTGGTCTATTTAAAATCCCAGCATGGACAAAACCATATAGATTAATGAATGTTGGCAGTAAACTATGTAATCCTCACAGCATAAGTAAAAGCAAACAGCAAAAATTGTCTGATTGGACAACTAATTTAACGCTTGATTTTATGGCTTTAGTATAATCTTCCAGGCATTATATATTAGATAATAGTTGTATCATAGTCCATTGGATAAGAAATGTTAATTATATCCTTTTTATGTCTCATGTTTGTCACTTGAGTAGAATTTTTTCATTGTTTTTGGTTTTCTTATGTCTCACTTAACCACATTGAAGATAACCTGTACATATTAGTTTTTGTAGTGATTTTTTTTTAAGCTTTTCAGTTTTTCTCTTTCTTGATTCACAGTCTTTACTTACCTCAGTTTAGCCTTAAGTCTTTTGTGGTGTATATGATTCATAATTGACTTTTAAGATGCTTGAGAAAAAGCTCCAGCCTTTTAAGCAAAGGTGACTGGTCACAACATTTCTACTAATACTAGAGTTTTAAGATGAAACAATATGTTGACTAAGTCGAAGTCTTAACCAGTATGGCAGTTCAGTTCCACACGCATTTATTGAGTGCCTACCATGTGCTTGGGCATGGGGATGTGGTCTTAAACCAATGATTCAGGTGTTCCTGTGTTCACTTGTTTTTACTGATGGATATAAACGACTGACATTTAGGAAGGCTAATAGAGTAGACATTTAGACACTTATTTTCTGACCCACCATTTTGGCAAAATTGAAAAAAAACATTTCATTGTTTCTTTTAGTCTGACAAATAGAAATAAATAACTTTTATTTTTCTAATAACAATGGCTTTTTGAAAACAAAAAAGTATGTTGTTTGTTGTTTCAGCCGAGGTTTTTCTTTTATATGTATTAACTTCTGAAAAGTGGTAGTTACCAGTTAGCTCAAGTGAATATTAATCCTTGGATTATGAGCTTTGTCAATTAACAGGTTTCTTTTTTATGAGTGGTTTAGAGAGGTATTTTGGTTTTGAGATATTGTTGCCATTTGTATTTGGATAATGGGAATTAGAATAGGCTTTTTTTATTGAGAATCAAAATATTGACCATTTTCTATTATGTTATTTTTACAGATCCAACTGTTCTAGAAGAAGGGTTTAGTCAATGATTTTATCTTACAAGACATTCACAATCTACTTAGTCTTTCTCATGGCCTTCCATATTCCCCTATGTATCCTGTGTTTTAACCACTCAGCGCCTGCCATCCCGCAGATAACTACTCTGTCCTTTCATTCCCTCCCTTATCTGAAGCATATCATAGTCTAGCAGTGTGTCTCTCAAAGTGTGATGGTGATAGTGGGAGGCTCTTAATCAGTGACATTGGGTGCTTATAAAAATACATGTACCTGGGCTCCTCTCCGGATCTACTGCATTGGACAATCTGTGTAGGCCTGGGAGTCTTCATTATAACAAGCATCCCGGGCGGTTCTGATGCTGCTGATCCCCTGAGCACACTTTGAGTGTGTTTGCAAAATGATTGTGTTATTCACAGGACATTCTGGAATCACCTAAGTGGCTCAACCTGAAGAGAGACAGGGCTCAGAAAAGGCTTTTTGGAAGAAGTAACCCTGGAGCTAAATATTAAAGAATGTGTTCAGTTTGTTGGGGGGGGGGGGGGGCGGGGGGCGGTGGATTATAGGTAAATGGGCAATAAATAAAGACAATAAAGGCAGATACATGAGTGTTGAGCACAGAGACTTCCATCAGTTCTCTAATATTGGTTCAGAATGTAAGGCAGGTGCGGTAGGGATTTAGTCTGGAGGGGTAGACATGGGCCAGATCACAGACAGCTTTGTGGGCCATGTCTAGAAACTTGAATTTGATATCATGTAAGTGATGGGAAGCTGCCAGGTAGTGGATCTTCCTAGTTAGATATGCATTTCAGAGTGACCATTGGTCATTGTATTAAGTGGGACAAGAACCAGAATCAGGAAGACCAATTAGGAAGCTGTTGCAGTAGTCCAGGAGCCAGGTGCTAGGGCACAAGAAGCAGGGATAGAAAGGAGGGGATGAAGGAAGAAGGAGCCCCAGGATTCTAGGGTTGGAACTGCCATCTGGTCTAGAGAACAAGAGGCAAAAGCAGCAGGTTGAGAAGGGGAGAAGGCATTTTCTGTAATAGCACATACCGTGTAGCTGCTTGGATATTTTCCCCTCATGATTTAACCTACTTAAGGTTAGGTGGCTTATTTTATTCATTTTTGTCACAACATCTAGTTTGTAGTAGATGTTCAGTAAATGTTTGTTATTGAAAAATTATTTTGCATGTTAAATAATTCCAAAGATGTGTGACTGTACTTGAAAATATTTACCAGGTGAATCAGCTATTTAAAAATATTACAGATGAAGAATAAGGCTTAAAATTGTAGAGTTCATGCAGTCTTTCATTCCGAAGTATTTATTGAGGTCTCTGTGCTGTATATTTTAACTTCATGATTATTTCTAATGTGTCCTCTATGGCTCTCTCTCCATTTCCACTGTTATCAGTTTTATTGAGTGTCTGTGTTCTTAGTTAATGTAGCTCCTGGTTTATAATTTTAGAACTCTTTGCAATATGATTTAGCTATAGCTCCACCTGAGATCTAGGCAGGAATGCAGTCCACTTTTAAAGACCCTTGGAGATGCCAGTAAAGAGATTTTAGTAGAAAGGGACACACCACGTGATCCAAAGTTTGGGAATCTGGTCATCGTCCAGAAATCAGTGTTTCCAATATACTTCCAAATGGTCGCTCACCTGCTCTAGCCTGACAATACACTACAAATTTAGTGGCATAGGAAAATCAGGTTAGTATGGCTAAATTTTCTTTTTCCACTATCCAGACTTTTTCTTTTTGTTCTTCTTAATCCTTGTTTATTTCATGCTGTTTTTTAAGCCTGAAAAATTTGTTCTTAAGCCTGAAAGTTTTGAGATTTTTTTGGAGACATCATTTAGTTTACCCCTCCCATCTGCAAACTGATCCTCTGGTGAAGCAACTTGATTTGGCAACCTCAGCAGGTTGTTTTATCAACAGCCTCATATTTTTCCACTGTTATCTCTGTCTTCCTTTTGCTTTTTTCCATAATAGTGCTTTAATCAACTAAATTATTAGATGCTTAATTTTATCTGATTGTAATCATTCACTTTATGGATAACAGCAAAACTGAAAACCCTGATAGAGCTCTCTAGGAGAGTTAGCTATAGTATTGCAGGTCTTTTAGTCAGTTAATTCAATAAATATTTGAGTGCATACCACGAACAAGGCAGACCTTGTCTCTTGAGACATTATCACCAAGAGCAGTGATTTTCCAACTTGGCTTTTGTTAGGTAGAAGTTTTTCCCTTGTCTAAAGTGTCATTTTGTTTTGGAGAAGAGTGGAATTGAATTCTTCTTTGCTTCTCCTCTTGTTATCTAATGGTTGCTAGCCCTTTCCAGCCAGAGATCAGAGAGAGAATTACACCCTAGAAAAAATGAGTTACTGTTTTCTCATTCCTCCCAAAGTTGGTAATACCATTCTAGATAATACCATTCTAGATACACAGGAAAGAAGTTAATTTATTATATACAGTGGATGCCTTGGGGCATTAAGTCTTGATTCTCTTTTGGAATCTGTTAGAAAGGTTACGGAATGTGCCAAGTGGCTCTACTACAAGATTTTAGACCAAATAATTTGTAGTATTAACTTATCAGTATTAGTCATAGGAATTATTAGAATATGGAAGTGAGATAACCATGCTCAAACAACATTGTAGAATGCATCTCAACATGAAAGGAATAATATATAATAAACTCTGTATGTAAAAAGCAGTCACTAAGGCACTAGTTTTTGTGGAAGCACAAGGTTTAGATTTCTGATTTAGTATACAATCTTAAGGGGCGACATTGTTGCCTTATAGTTTTTCACTCCATCAAAGAATGTTTCTCTCTTGGAAAATGGAGCTAAAATGCATTAGTACTTTTTAAAGTGTTCCTTATTTCCCAAAATTCGTTAAAAGTATTTTTTCCAAGGGAGTCACTTTATTGGTAAATAAATTTGAATAAAGATGGATTTATTCTAACATTCCTTAAGAATTAACCACCAGCTATAAGCATAGTCGCTCTTGGCAAATTAGTGAAAATTGTGATTTTTATATATTTTCTAGCCTTTTGGCCTTATTTTACAGATTAGGTGCAGGGAAATCTCTTTTTTATGTCTACTTTTAGCCTTCAGGTTGCTAATATACTGGCTTCAGTGAATTCAGGTATGCTTCAGATGATTAGGATTGGTCTCTTAACTCCTAAATGTCTCTTTTTAAAAAATTGAAACAAGGGGGTCAGTTCACATGCTCCACTCGGTGGCCCAGGGTTGGCAGGTTTGGATCCCAGGCACAGACCTATGCACTGCTCATCAAGCCATGCCATGGAGGTGTCCCACATACAAAATAGAGGAAGATTGACTCAGATGTTAGCCCAGTGACAATCTTCCCCAAGCAAAAAGAGGAAGATTGGCAACAGATGTTAGCTCCAGGCCAATCTTCTTTGCCAAAAAAAAAAAAAAAATTTGAAACAAAACTTTGATATTATTAAATTATAAAAATAAATTGGGTCTTCTGGCTTTTGCAAGATGGGAGTATTGTTTAAATTGTAAAATTAGAATGAGTTTATTATTTTTCTGAACCAGGAAGACTTCAGTGGTTTGATAGTTAAGATGAAATTTTACGTTTTTTTCTTTTAGGTTGACAATTGCATTTTTTGCGCTCTCCGGGCTGGATATGTTGGATTCCTTAGATGTGGTGAACAAAGATGATATAATAGAGTGGATTTACTCCCTGCAGGTCCTTCCCACAGAAGACAGTGAGTGAGTTTTTAGCAGTATATTTTTAGTGTGACTAGTTGTACCTGACGTAATGTGTGTTGGACTAGGAAATCTTAGTATTTATTCATAAACTATTAATGTATTTTATTCATCTATGTTTTCCTTGTAATGCAACACTCCCATTCTGTTCAAATACCAAGACTTAACAAGTGTAGTCATTAATCTCTTGAGAGAACAATTTAGAGTCATCTGGGATTAAATAGATTCACAGTTGTTGCGCCATGCTGTGTTGTGTACTTCTGCTTTGATGAATCTTGTTGATTATTTGTATTCCATGTTTATGTCCGAGTAGTTTTATCATATTCGATGTGTTTTTCATTCTCAAGCATTCTTTTTGTCTCTTCAGTGAAAAACTCTTTTCCATCAGAAAGTTTTATTTCAATCTCCTGGTTGTTTTCCCTCTACTGTTTCATTAGTAGTTCTTTAATGGTTTCTTAGCGCTCTTACTTACACTTTAATCATTTTTATGCTTCTTAAAACTTCATAAATTTTGATCAAATAAAGTCTCAAAATTCCTAAATTACCTGATCAACTAAACACACACGTTTTATAAACTCTATTGTTCACTATTAAGCGTAAAATACCTAACTTCAATTTACCTTTTAAAGGCTAGAAATTCTAACTTTGAAAAGATTAAACAAATAAACTCCCAGAAAAATCATGCAATTTTTATCATGGTCACCACTCACATGTCTTTTAAGAGTCAGCATTTATAAATTAACAGTGTGGTTCGTTGGTTGGAGTAATCATATATAAATCTCCCCCAGATGAATTTAGGAGAAATAATAGGCTAAAGCTTTATTTAGAAAGAGAGAGAGAAAAGAGGTTTGATCTATTAGTAGATGCTATTGCATAGAGTTTGTGGCTTTATACTTTATTGTTCTTGAAGTTCATTGTGTTTGTTTTTATATAACTTTTAAAATCTGTGCCTGTTGATGAATTCTTATTAAAAAATGATTAAGCCTTTTGAACTAGGTCTACCAGAATCTAATACATAAATATCTAATCACTTTTCACCAGCTACATGAAGCAGCGTATGTGATGTATTGGTTAGTAATTATAGATTCTAACATGTTGTCCAGTAGAATTTATTGACTATTCTGCTAAACCTGTAGAGAAGGCTGTGATAGGGTCCTCACTCTCTAGGAGCTTTTGGCTGAGGTGAGGTCCCAGTGCTAGTCATCTGCAAAATGAAAGTAATTTGTATTTTCCCTTTTTACCAGCATTTTTTTTTCACTAATTTAAGTGAAAGTCTGGGGTTTTTTGCAAAGTTAGATACTAGCCAGATGCAAGGTAGTATTATTACAGCTTCTGATTTTTGTTTGTTTAGTAAGAATACATATGTGTCCTGATCAAATTATACACTGTAGTGTCTTAAAGAAATATATCTCACATAGTACAGATGGGGAATTACACACTGTAGTACATGGAAAGCTGTTCTGTAAGTTTTTGCTAAAATATCTTTTTTATTACTTTTAGAAAAAAATTTACTGATATTCATTCCCCTGAAATAAAATGGCCATTGTCTCTATAGAAAAGTGTGGACCCATAAACCAATGTTACCTCAATTAAAAAAAAAAGTTAAAAAAAAAATGAAAAAAAAGGAAAGAAAAGTGTGGACCATAACATTTTAGTGAGAGATCTAATACTATAGGTTACACTTACTAGAACATTGGTCACTTACTCACCATACTTCAAACTTTCTGTCTTTTCTTATAATTTTCCCCACTTTTTAGGGCTATTTACTGGTTCTGTGGTTGAGCTGTTTTTTTGTCTGTTCTTTACTATGTGTTTACTTTCCTCTTCTATTTTTTTTAGTGAAATGAGTTTTTTACAACAAAGAGAGAAGTTTTTTTAATACCTTGTTGTTTTTAAATAGCTGCTTACCTGACTCATTGTTTGATCTTTTGTTGTGAGAGATTTGCTATTATCTGAGCTTTCATATTATCCGTAATAATTGTGTTTGCTACAAACTCACTGGAATGACTAAAATGAAAAGGGTGAAGTAGAATAAGTGTTGATGAGGATGTAGCACAACTGGCACTCTCATCCAGTGCTGAAGGAGTTTTACAGCTGCTTTGGAAAACGGTTTGGCAGTCTTTACTAAAGCTGAACACATGTACCGTCTGTGACCCAGCAATTCTACTCCTAGTACATTCTCAGCGAAATGAAATCATGTGTTCACCAAAAGGTATGTACTAGAATGTTCATAGCATTATTTTTCACAGGAGCCCAGAAGTAGGAACTATACAAACTATCTGTCATCAGTATAATGGATAAATGACGTATTAGAATGGAATACTAGGCAGTAATGGGAAAGAACAATCAATCTATAACTCCGTGCACAAATTTGGATAAATGTCACAAACATGTTTGGAAAGAAAGAAGTACATAGTGTATTATTCCATTTATATAAAGTACAAAAATAGGCAAAACCAGTCGGAGCTTTTGGGAGTGACTAGAAGGAATGAGGAAGGAGCTTCTCGGGTGCTGTCATGTGCTTCTTCCTGAGCTGAATGCTGGTTGTACAGGGGAGTTTACTTTGTATGAGTTCATTGAGCAGTTGTGCTTTTCTTATGTTTATTATACTGTCATGAAAGCTTAAAATTTTTTTTCTTTGAATTGGGATCGGTACTCACTGTCTCTTTTGAGACCCATCAGAATTCTCTTTCCCATTGAATTGTGAAGTCCATGGACTTCATTGGTTTGAAGCCCATTGCTATTTTTTTCAATCATTCCTGCTTAACTGTTGGTTAAAATATTTTTGCTTACATCCGAATTGTAAACTTCTGGAGGGCAGAGAATGTGTCTGTCTTACATTTCTTTTCCCTTTCAGTGCCTAAAGTATTGTTAGATATCAGCAGTTGTTGGACTGCTATTATTCACCTGTACCTTCTCCAACTTTACTGTTCCTCTTTTCTGTATTCTCACATTTCACCTAGAGCATCCGGAGCATCCTCTGGCTCCTCAAGTATTTTCTCATTCATAAGGCATTTGAAGGCTGAGTAGAATATGCTTTCTCTAAATCATAGGTCTGTATTTGTCCCACTTTGTTATATCACATAAAATCTTAGGGAATTAAAAAATCCGAAAACATTAAACAAAATCTGGAGACCATAAAGGAAAAATTTGATAGATTTGACTAAATATTTTAAAATGTTATCAGTGGAAGATAAAGTTAGATAAGTGATAGACTTGGAGGAAATTATGGCATATATATAATAGACAAAATATTATTATCCAGACTATGAGAAATTATTTAAGATTGAGAAGAAAATGACACATTGCCGTTTAGAAAAATGACAAACTTTATGAAAAGGTTCGCAAAAGAAGTACAGATAGCCAGTAAATACATGAAAAGAGGGTTAGCCTTACTAGAAATCAGAGAGATTCAGTAGAAACAATGATATTACATTACTTTTTACCTAACACCTCAACTTAGCAAAAAGTTTTAAAAAGTTGGCAAGTGTATGGAGGAAAGAGAAATTTAATATTCTTTTGGTGGAAGTGAAAATGTTTACAACATTTTGAAGGGCATTTTAGCAGTATTATTTTTTTACTCTATCTGACATATTGTCACGTGTGTTGTACTGCGTTGAATAATGGCCCCAAAAAGATATATTCACCAGGACCTCCAAATAACTTTATTTGGAATAAGGATGTTTACAGATGTAATTAAGGTAAAGATCTCAAGATCAATGGCTGATGTCCTTATAAGAGGAAGGAGAGGGAGATTTGAGACACAGAGGGGAAGGCCATGTGAAGATGGAGGCAGAGATTAAAGTGCTGGGTCAGCACACTAAGGATCGCCAGGATTGCCCACAGCCTCCAGAAGCTCAGAGAGAGGCATGGAACGGATTCTCCCTCAGAGCCTCCAGAAGGAACCGACCCTGCCAACACTGTGGTTTTGGACTTCTGGGCTCCAGAACTGTGAGAGAATAAATTTCTGTTGTTTAAAGCCTCCAGGTTTGTGGTAATTTGTTACTAACCCCGGGAAACTGAGACATGTGCACAAAATGTTTGTTTTGGCATTGTTTATTACAGTAACAAATGAGAAGCAAAATAAATGTTCACCAAAAGGGAAACAGTTAAATAAACTATGGTCCAGTAAAGAATACTGTGCAATAGTAAAGTGATTGAGGTAGACCTCTGTATGTATTGATGTGAAATTGTTCATCATGTGTGGTTAAATGATAAATGCCAACTTGTACAGAGGTGTTTTGCTTAAATAATCTTGGGATGTAAATATATAGGAAAAACTGAAAGGATACGTAGAAAATCTTTGTGGAGGGGGGAGGTAGATGGGAACAGAAGAGGAGGATGGCAGGGTACTGTTTGAATGTTTACAGTATGTTTCTGTATTTAAAAATTCAAGTTAGAAAAGCTTTAGCTTAACTTCTCTTCAAAACAAAAAAAAATAAAACTGAGCTTAAAGTTATATGGTTATACACAAATATTGATGTTTTGCTAATGGCAGAAATAATGGTTTACATTATTTAATATTGTTTTCAAAGCACTGTCAAATATACCATCGAATTTGTTCTTCGCCTAATCTGCCTTCCCCAGAAGAGGAAAATGAGAGGCAGAGTGATTAAGAGACCTGCCCGAGGTCACACACGGATGTCAAGTGATAGAGTTGGACTAAAATCCCAGGCTTCTGACTCCAAGTCCCAATGCTGCTTCACTGTTGAAGTATATAGGTCCCTGGTGGAAACTATTTATATATATATATATATATATATGTATATATATATATGTCATGTATACCACTTAAGTACATTGTGAATATTTCATCACAATTAACCCTGACCTTCCGCTTAACTCCAGGATTGTGAAGACGCTAGTAGTACCCTGCTAATAAGTGTGTGGTCAGCCCATTGGAGTATTGGAGCCTTTCTCATCAACCTCAGGAGGAAGATTTAGGAAACACAAGAGATGAGGCTGGGAATTGTCTGTTCCCTTCTCTGATCAAGGGCAC